GCTGCAGTTTGATTCTGCAAGGCATCTCTCAAGTAGCTACCGCGGTCGGACATAGAACGAAAAGAGATAGAGTCTCAGAAAGCCTTTGAGAAAGGGGCAGGTCAGCAGACCGGAAGTCAGTTGGTTGCGAGGCCCTTACACAAGTGTTATATTTGTGATAAAGAGGGGCATTTAGCAGCAGATTGTAGGAAAAGAGAGAAGCCCAAACGCCCATTTCAACGTGGACGTGATTATGGTCGACGCAATAACGGAGAGACCAGGCGGTATTTCCCTGTCTAGTGAACTGGAAGGATGGTGTAAAACCGTCCGGAAGAGGTCGAATAGCACCCAACCGCTAGCAATGGGTCAGCCATGCACATACGATGTAAAAATCTTTGGTATCCCAGTCAAGGCCTTAATAGACACTGGCTCAGTGGTCTCTATCATACCTGTGGGATTACTTAAGCAGGCCCGCGGCCAAGGGGTCGATCTGGACAGTGAGGCTCGCATAGTAGGTGACGGCAAGCAGCGCAAACTGTTCGATGCGTCGGGAAATGCAATGAGCTTTCTCTCGGAAATAGTTACAGAAGTAACGGTCATAGGAGCTAGCACGGCTTGCGTTCACATGCACGTGCAACAGAGCAAAGATAATACTTTACTACTAGGTACAAATGCCTTACAGAAGCTCTTACCCCGAATGGGCACCAGAACATGGGTTACGCGACGAATAGCCGTTTTGAAAATGGCCTACCTCCTGACACGGCTTTTGCAGAGGGCAGGGTTGTAGTCGCACCAGGCACTGTTGCCACTGTAAAAATAAATGGTGGGACCCGTATGGGGGCCTGTATGTTCTGGTCTCAGAATCCCCAGATCGAATCGGGGGTATGCCAAATAAATCGTGGTAAGACTGAGATTTCGGTCGTAAATCGCGGAAACGAGTCTTGGGTAATCAACAGAGGTGAGAACTTAGGCGAGTTTTCCTCGGATACCTGGGTTGATCCTAGAGTGGCTGATATTCCAGGAGATATGTTATGTCTGCATCAGCTTCCAGCGCCGCAAGCAGCCGAACGAATTGATCTATTATTATCCATCTTGGACACAAACAGGAAGGCTGGTCCCATGCCCGACGAGGTGCGCGTGGTGGTGACAGAATTTAGCGAAGTATTCGCTATTTCGGATACGGAGCTAACCCAGACTACCCTTGTCCAACATGACATAGATGTAGGTGAACATCTTCCCATAAGGCAGAAAACCAGACCCGTGCCGTACGGTATACGTGGTAAAGTGCATGATATGCTCCAAGACCTTAAGGAAAGAAATGTGATTGAGGACAGTCAGTCACCGTGGGCATCACCAATAGTCCTGGTCGCCAAGAAAGATGGGTCCACAAGGCTATGTGTAGACTACAGGGAAGTTAATAAGGTTACCAAAAAGGACAGTTATCCCTTGCCCCCCATAGACATCACCTTACAGAATCTCCAAGGTAAGCAGTGGTTCACATCGCTGGATTTAGCTAGTGGATACTGGCAGGTACCATTAACTGAAAGAGCTAAAGGAAATTAGCGCTTTTACGACTACGTCCGGACAGTTTCAGTTCCGAGTGTTGCCTTTTGGTCTAACCACTGCGCCAGCGAAATTCCAGCGTTTAATGGATAAGGTGCTAGGCGATTTAATAGGGCCAGAAGTATCAGTCTACATAGACGACATACTTATTGCGACGGATTCGGTGCAAAGACATACAGAAGTCCTCCACAAGGTTCTGTTAGCATTCCGCAAAGCGCAGCTGAAGGTTAAGCCCCAGAAGTGTCGGTTAATGGAGCCCAGCTTGGAGTTTCTCGGGCATGTGGTGGATGCTAGTGGAGTGAGGGCTGACCCGGAAAAAGTTGCTCGCATAAGAGATTATGCCCGTCCACAGAATGTAGCTCAGTTAAGGACATTCCTTGGTATGGCGGGTTACTATCGAAAGTTTGTTTTGAAATTTTCCCAGATTTCAAAACCTCTTTTTGAGCTTACCAGTCCAAAAAGGAAATTCTTATGGTCCGATGAGCACGATACAGCTTTTGAAGCACTAAAGATGACCCTGGTCAAAGCGCCAGTATTGGCGCAACCCAATATCGAGAAAGCTAGGGACGGATCTCGACCTTTCGTTATTTACACCGACGCTAGCAGGAGTAGGAATTGGTGCAGTTTTAGCCCAGGAAGGAGATGACTCGTTGCTGCATCCCGTATTCTTTGCTTCTAAACATCTAACTAGCGCGGAAAGAAAATATCATGTTACGGATCAAGAAGCGTTAGCACTTATTTTCATTGCTTGGTTCTCAGTGCTTTCGAAAGTTTTGAGAACTTCTTTAAGTCTATAACCTTTTCAATTTCTTTGGCGCCGTGATTTTCGCCCATCTCGAAGCTTTGCTACGAGTGTCTCGTTAGCAGCCTCTTCTACGATATCGTTCGGCATACCGTTAATCGATATTAGAGGCCAATGACTCTGACTCTCTGCAAGCCACTTTGGACCTCTAATCCAGCTATGAGTGCAGATATTAGCAGCTGACGGTTTGAAGCCACCATCGACAGACTATCGTCTATAGAGCATTCGTTGGAGCTATTCAGTAGCTTGAAGCCTGCATTGGAAGTCTAAATGAACGTTCGACTCCACCCTCGGCGTGCATTTTCTTGCACGCTGGAGGAGAACGTAGACTCGCATTCAAGCGGGCGCTGCCCGCGTATCCCAGATACCTATATGCGCACTCTCCAAGTGACAAAAATGGGAATCTGCGAGCAGTGTTCAAACCAGCACACGAGGCAAAGTGCAAGGTCATGTGCCACATGCCGCCAACCTCACAACGCCTTGCTGTGCATTGCCAAAGCAGGTCCATTCCAAAATAAAAGTAAACACTTAGCTCACTGTTGAAGCGAATGAGCAGTTCACCAACTCCACTCACTACTCCATCACACCATTACAACTACCTAGCAACCACCACACTCGACTCCAATCTGCGGCGCCACCAACAGTTGTCAGTCTACACTCCGCTCCACATGTCAACCATCGCCCGCGACACACCTTCATCAATCAATAATGATGATCAGAGTGATAAAATACATAGATAGACACCATATTATTCACATTCTCATGGTACTCGTTTGTTCACTCGCTTTTATATGCTACTCACAATGTTCGTATAACTAACTGTGAATCTGAATTCCATGTTGTCTTGTAAGTGTTTCGTAGGGAGTGTCGCGCACTTCTCCGCGACAATGCCTGACCACCCATGTGGTGGCCAGCTGTGAAGGGTGGCCCGTCCTTTACATTGTATCTCACGGGCACTGTCAATAAAAACTTCAGAAAAAACGGCACGCTAAGTGCCTATTCTCTCCTAGCCATTATTTTTCAACTTGGTTAGGCTTTGTTAATAAATATTTAACAAGCACTGAACCGATTTTGCAAAAAAAGTCCAAGGGATTTCCTGTGGCTGGATCAAGAAGAAATCCGCCACAAACACGTGCACAGCGAGGAACGCCCCTATATGTATCTATATATATGAGGTTGCTTGTTACAATGGTGATCAGTAGGTGTTAGCGTCATATTCTGGCTGTGCGTATTATTCTGGCTGGATGTGCCTTATTCTGGCTGTTTTTGTCCCTATTTAAGTTCTAGTTATTGTGTTTTGACTGATTTCTTCATGTGTCATTCAATATTGTAACTTAAAGGCAGTTGGCACGATAAATCCCCCAAGACGACTAGGATCAATACTCCTGGCAGGATAGAATTCCGCGACCCTGGGCAGGCGCTGCATAGCGGTTTCCCCGAGGAAAGGTGCCCTTATAGGGGCACTATCAAGTCACAACATACCGACCCGACGGCCACCATGCCCGCTCGCCCACAAATGGACGACCGTTCCTGACGCTCGTATTGATTCATTTGCTAAGCAAATTATGAAGCGAAGGGATTGGTATGAAGCGGCCGTGATGCTGCATGCATATATGGGTACACATATGCAGCCGTATCTTCGGTAGCGGTGATTGGTAAGATGCCTACGGGAAACTCGTCCGAAATCGATTTACAAGTCACTGAGAACGGAGGCTTTTTTTCGCAGGATTTTGACCGTTTCACTCCGTTCTTTCGCCATTTCCCCACTATACAGCGCCCTACTAGCATTTTAGGCTAAGTAGGAAACCATCGTGCCAATTGCCTTTAAATAGGTGTGCTGTATTATTGAGCATGGTTGTTCGTATAAATGGCTCAGCCGCAAGACAATATTCCGTTTTGCGTGGAGCGGTTTGTGAATGGTTGTTTTGCACCCAGGCAAAGTGTGCGAAAAAAAAGATCTTAAAGGAAAGGGTGTATGTTGTGTTATATGATATTGCGCTTTCTTTCAGCACCTGTTATGTTCCAGTTGCTGTGAGCAACGCGAATAGATTCGTTGCTTTGAACCGTCGTGCGTCGTTAGAAAGTGAGAGTCCTGAGGCCTTTGAGCGAGCGCGAAGCTGCGAAAAGGCTCTTAAAGGCAAAATCGGACAAGGCAATGAAAGTTACCGGAGACTTAAAGGCAGGTCCACGATCAGGTATCGAAGTTGAAAATATGGCGTCAGGAGGTTAGAGTGGTCCGCGACGAACAACCTTGTACCGGTTTCGCGGCAAAAAATTCTATGGGAGGGGCGCTGTAGCGCAATATAGGTTCAGTGGCTCCTCCTTTTTCCAGTGACTCGCCTCCAGACTCCGCCCCTAATGACCGACTTCCAGTGAAAAATGAGATTGCAGGACGAAAAAGCATGATAATCGCCACTTGTACGATCGTAGAAATCTTATCGGTGAATCAGCCGTGCATATGAGGGCGTAGTTTTGGAGATAGAGTTGATTGGGCACGTACAAACTGGGATCGAAATGGGGTTCTATCTAGGGCAGGTGGCATGTTTTTGTGCTTTTTTGTTCACAGTCGAGTTACTCAACCCCTTGTCGTCTATATGGAACCTCCTAATATCAAAAGAAACTATACGTTCATGACTGTATGGAACTATCTGTTAGTACATATTTCAGAGTTCGCTCGGAAGTAGCGGGTTATCGGACATCCTGGAAATCTTTGGTGGTCGGCCCCCAAAATAAGGATGTGAATGTGCAGAAAAGGAAGCGTTCCCTTCTCTTTCCTCTTGCGCATGTCAATAAAAAAATTTCGATGTCGATTTATTCGTTGAAATTGGTACTATAACCGCTCATTTGATTGTTTTGTTACTTTTTTGAAGTGTTGCTTGATTCCCTGAGACGTATAGATAGGGACAAATGACTATGACCATGTATATTCTCGAAGTACCATGTTACTACATCATGTGAACGAGTGTTCTCGGCATTATGTATGCTTTCCTTAATTCTCAATATTACATCCATTTCGCTGCTTAATTGTTCGAGCATAGAGTTTTGGAACACTACGCATATGCCTTCAAGACCATTGGAATGATGCTCGAAGCTCGACGATGAGCTCTCTGTGAGGAATGGAAATGTCGTATCCGCCGTATCTATGGCGGAAAGCTCATGGTTGAGGAAGTAGACATGCTCAACTTCTAGACTACTCCGAAGTCAGCATGACGCAGTAGTACGTGCAAGTACTTGAAGACAGCGCCCGCGATCGACCTTGGCAGGTTGTAGGGCTCAGAATTGTTAGAACATGTGGCAATTAAAGCATTAATCAAAAAAGTCAACAAAAAGCGCCGCAAGAACATAGAATAAGACCCTGTTTGATCGGACGCATCTGGACGAGTTTCGCAGGTTTTGGGTGTGTTCTCAACCCGTCACCGCCTCGTTGAAACTAATTCTCATGAGGCCACTACCTAGAGTGTATTAGAAGTTAATCTATTTAATCTAATCTAATAGTTAGTATTTTAATCTAACTATGAGTTAATCTTCTTATCAGTGTACGAAACAAACGCTAGAAATTTAGCGATTATCAGTGTCCGGTCGAGATCAGCACGACAGGCAGGAGTCAGCTTATCACTGTTGACTCCGCCTTCGTCTATCAATCGATTTCGAGTCCCAGGAGTGGGATATCCTCTGTGGTTGCGGACTCCGCGATCTTGTACAGTACAGGGTTTCTTCACCTTGGTTGATCGCAGACGCTGTCTTTAAGCAGTCGCCAGCCAGAGGC